GGACTTGACCATAGGGTTTGGGTTTTTGGTGTTGCGAGCTGGACCCGGAACCTTGAAAAGCACTTTTTCCACTAAAGCGAAGCTGATGCGTCGACTAGAGAAAACTCGGTGGCCTTCCAAGCTTCTTGTTGGAGGTTACGGCAAGATGAATGATGCTCATTCTTCGGCGAAGCGCTGGCTAGGAAGCACATGCTGCATTCTGTGCGTGCTAGCCTTAGCAAGTGAATCCGGATAGCCAAGAACTTTCGGCCCTGCAACACGTTCTACCTCCGTGGTGTAGGGAAGTTGTTGAGCAAAACTAATTCCGAGGACACTACCTACCTTCAATATTTGGTTTGCTTATCTGGGTTGCAGGGATTGGTGAAGAGGATTGTTCAGGATCATGCCAACTTGCTGCTAAACAGGGCTGCTTCTATACTGCGATGTCTGGAATTGGTTTGGTCGGCAGTTGTCGCTCACTGCTCCTCTGCGTTTTCCTCAACCATCCTGAGGAGGAGCAATCAGGAGGCAAAAAGAATTGTGTAGGATTTCTGTTGCGAATCTTCCCAAGGATTGGCTTCACAAGCTGTGATCTCGCTTGCTACTTGACTTTTGGTCGCAAGGTTTTCGCAGTGAAGGGCGGTGACTCATATTTTCTGGTCACAACATCGACTTACACTAGGACCGTCAACAAAGCTTACGGAAAAACAAAAAAAAACTGCCAACATAGGGAAGTATGAGAACCATCCTGGGAGATTGTAAGCTAAAGTGATGCTGAGGTCCAGTAAGTGCCTCTGTAACGCTTTGAGTCATTCCCCCCCCTACAGCAACAGCTATCACAAGAAGAAGCACTAGGAATCATAATAGCCGCTTAATAGCATCCCCTTACAGCAATCCCCGTTGTCGTATGTAGTAGAAATAGTATGTTGGTTAATTCCTTACGGTTATATCTCAAAAAGGGAAAACCCTAAGGAGATTACAGTTTGAGGACAGCTATCTTTTGTCGGAGCCAGCTGTGAGTAATCCCCTCCCCCGGTTTAGGGTATGGGGTTACCTTCCCAGCACCTGAGTACTAAACAGCCCAACTATGGTACCATTCTAAACTAGAGGGCGTATCCATGGAGAGGAGGGGTGCACCATTAGGGGCAGAGAGTTACAGTAAATAGTCATGTGCAATGCCGTATGCTCCGTTCCTTGCTTCCACGTTTCTATGCCCTCAAGCTCGTAAGGGGGGCTCCCAAAATCAGGCGCCCCTGTCATCCTGATTATAAGGGTTATGTAGGGTATAATATAATGTTGGACCTCCTTTAGTAAAGGCCCCCTCCAATGTGCTTTGGGGCCTGCTTATTCACGACCAGGGCCATGATTGCAAGGCCCCTGTCGAGCCCTATACATATAGAAAGGATTCACAACTCTCCCTTTTAAATCTATCCACAGGGACCTCAGAACCGTAGGACGCTAAGGGCCCTTATTGAGGGTCCCTAATTTCTATTCGTCTGAGGGCCCTATTGTCAGGGAGGAGGCCCTACCCTTCAAAGAGGGTCCAACATTACAGGGTTCGCCGCCAACACGGATTATGATATTTGGGGGTGTATTTTGGGGTCCATCCATGTCTAGAAACACCATAAACAGCAGACGTGCTGCAGAAAACCATAGGCATTAGCAGATGTCCATAAAAATCAGGCTGGTGGGTCCCTCCGAGGGTGTAGAGTCTAGGAATGTGTTCCCTCTGTAGTCCCTACGCATCCTAAGAAGACCCTCTGCACATCCCAACACATAGGAACACCACCTCTCCGTCTTCCCCATGTATTCATTCTTTTGATGCTCGGACTTTTGTATTCAATATGTCCCATACCTCTGCATGCGAACATCTTATTTCAAGAGCCGGACATTTTGCTTGCAAGCCTCATGTAAAGCCTACTAAAGACGTTCTTTCAAGATGGTTTTTCTCCTGTGTTCATGAGCCACCCATCCTTCATCGTCCCGGCCTACTAAAAAAGACCATGACAATTAGAATGCAATTTGGATTATCAAGGCGAATTATGTTTCTAAAAGGTGGCAGAACGTCTACATTTCGGAACTTCTTCATATGCTCCTGATGTAGACTGCAAGATGCGTCCTAAACCATGGAAACACTTTCTCCAAAGCATTGATCCCCAAAATAACCCAAATCCCTTTCTAACCTCCATTTATTGTTCCTTGCATCTCTTCCTTATACACCCCGAGCTTAACAGATTCGATGAAGAGAACTCTTGGCCATCTGAGGCTCCATGTTGGGGGCGGGTCTGCAACCTTGGGGATCACGTAGGTCGTAATCGACCGGGCAGGAGCCTCACGAGAATGGGTTTGTTGGGAGAATCCTGCACACAAGCTTAAAAGCCTAAACCCTGGGAAATTCACTAGAAGAATGCAAAGTGTCTCCAATCAACATTAGGAGCACTTCTTCTAATCGGGGTCCGCAACATACATCTTGATGTAATATAGCCTGGAGAATAAGGACTCAGTTTCGGGAAATTCTGGTCGGGCTTGCATACGGATGCTGCAGAAAGCATTTAGCAAAAGGCATATAGGAGTTTCTTTCTACAAGTGGCACGCATGTTTGAACGCGCAGGTTTTCAAGGCTTTTGGCTCTCATGTGCGCGCCATATTGTTGAACAGGATCTGTATGAAAACAATTTAGGGTTCAAGCTTCAAGGACCCCTTTGTATTGAGCACTTGTCATGTTATATTCGAAGATTCTTCAATCCATCCTGAAACCAGCAAGCCTGCGATCCTATCTGTCAATGCCCATCTCATCTGACCAATGTGAGGGCCGAAAAAGGTTATCAGGGTTCATTATTCAGGATTACCATCCCGACAAGCCAGTATGTACTGCAGCTTCGCTTACAATTTCCAATCTCGCTTTCACTGGGCTCTCCATCATTTGTGAATCTTTGAGGCTTCTAAACCTCAAGCCCCGAAACCTGCTTCATCTAATTTTGTACAATGTATCGGTTAACGATGCAAGTGTAACCTCAGAGTTGCAGGTTGGGGCTCTGATTTCGGGGTTCGCATTTCTTATGCTACCTCACATGGAACCTCAGAGGGCGCTTATGAAGGCTAGCCTACTATTCCTGTGTCTATTGCTAGTGCTATTGTGCTATCACCACAGCCACTAGGACGACTCTCACTGTTAAGACAGGGGCTCCGTGTTCGGTTTGGAGGGAAGCAATGACAGCCCTGAGGTAAGACGAGGATGCTGTAAAAGCCTAGGGAAACACATAATCCTTGTGCAATTGAAAAGAATATATACCCAACTTCCCTCTTCAGATCATTGAGAACCGTACAATGCAGCCTGTTCTTTCAGAGTAAGGGCGGAAACGAGAAGTGATCTTGTGCTACAAGAGTTTCCAGAACAGGCACCTACATGTTGAACAAAGGCCCCTGCCGAATTCCTAGCAACCTGGTCCGAACCTTCAACCCTAACGTCTGGCAGGTTGGTGTGGATGTCTCCCTTCACGGGCCACCTGCGTTTCAACGGATCTGCCAGCGACCTCAGTCCCAGAAACAGCCAAAACCTCCTCAAGACTTCAAGCGGCTGGCCTCAAAGCCTCACACATGGACTTGCTGGTGTTGGCTGTGTACAAGGCCAAGCCGCATTACAAGGCAAACTTAATGCAGAACAACTTAACAAAACCAAGTTCTCATACACATCTCATGTGGTATATGGGCCGACAACTGCCCACATTGTTATCTAGGGTCTATGTTTAAGGATCTGCAAGACAGCAGCATATCAGGAAAACAGCAATAGTTCTAGGACTGTGTGAATTCAAGCGTACGGCTCACTTCACTTGGAGCCGACCCCTGATCTCTTCCTGACACTGAGAGCAGCGCCTGGAGCCAAAATCCAATGTCATACCCCTCCTGCACAGGAAATTCACTCAAACCAAGGCATTCTTAAACCTGCAACCAATTTGATTCTTTGAACCTATAAGAATCTTGTGGACCCTAGACTGTAGGATTCTGCATTGGGGAGGGGTGCTAAGTCACATAACAATCAAACCCGCAATCGGGATGGTCTGGTGGTTTACGATTTGAAAACCAATTCCGAACCACATTCAGTTCAATTTTTCGGCACTGATCCCATCCTAATGTCAAGAATGGGAAGTTTATGTATGCGTAGCCGCTTCGTAACCGACCTGGCAGGTGCGATTCTTAGGCAATATCTGTTTGACTAATTGGACAAGCGGGAGCTTTCAAGACAGCCTTTTGGGTGTATGCATTGGATGTTACTTTCATAGTCATTCGGTTTCAAAGCAGTGTAAATGTAATCTGCGAAGGTGTTACATGCATCCTGCTGTACCCATCATATGGTTCTTTGAGAAAGGCATCGTGGCAGAAATGTGAAAACTTTTACTGTCATTCCTGCTGGAGTCTCAGAGAGCTGGGGGTGTCATCCCTCAGTCCGTTTGAATCCTCGTGAGGCAAGTTAGCGACTTGGGCCCGCATCATTTGATTTGGATGGCGGAGGGAGGCGATGATTACACTTACTTATGACCCTCACCTCACTTTACGGCCAATCTATGTGGAATTTCGTCCTCAAACCGACGGGGGCCGCACATGGACTTCAGATAAAAACATGAAAGAACCCACAACTGTGCAACTAAGATCAGCTTTAGATCTGGGACCGATGTTGGAGGCCCACGAACTGTGAGTTCGTGACCTGATTTGTAATCCCTTAGCCTATCATCGAAAAATCTGAGAATTCCATGGGGTATACTAGAATGAAAATGAATGATAATTTCCAAGGAGACTACACAGTTCCGAAAATTCCCAAAATCCGAAGTTCTATGTGCCAATCAATGGCCGGGAGCCTCATTTGACGTCCACGTGTGCAGCCCAAGCCTTCAAGCCTCCAACGCCCAACTTAACCTCAAATCCTCAATTTAGGCAAGGCCAGTAAAGTACCACAACAGGTTTGGAAGTTTTGCAACCTACCTGCCTCTTCCTAGGCCCGGAAACCGGGCTTCAGAGGTTTCGGCCTGATTGAGGACCACGCACACAACGGAGCCATCTGGATTCACGAAGCCAGTCGCCTGGCCGCTCTGACATAAGATTGCGCAATACAGTCGGTATGAAGGAGTTTTTAAAAGGACTATGAACTGTTCTGGGAGCTTAGAACCCAGTATTCAGGAAATGCGGTTTCACTGTTGTTGCCGGATGTGCTGCAACTCTGGAATCAAAGCCTGCCGACAGAAATTCGATACCATCCGGTAGGACATCTTGCCACATCTTGTCCGGAACGCAACATGATGTTATCAAAGCCAGTTTCTGTCCGTGCCTAACCTCATCCTATCCCATCGAAACCCTATGTACTGCCTGGGCCTATGCAAGCCCCAAACCCAAAACCTCAAACCCTGAATCCTAAACCTGAATTCCCTGAACCCCCACGCCCTATGCCCTTTTGGAAGACTTTCTAAGACCACCTCGAGCTTGTCGCGGCTGCTGCTAGTGGAGATACGCTGTGCACCGGGCTTGATGTATCGCCTGGCTGGTCACACTGTTTAGGGCTGGGGTAAGAAGTTGGAGTGATTCTGTACGGTCTTTGGTTCGGGGGTCGGGTGCGTATGACCTGAAGTCCTAGCTTCAGGTCTCGTCAACTGGACACCCAACATGTGCACTTGCCATTCTTCCAAAATGAACCCCAACGATTGAATCGTGAGTTTAGCAACAAGCTTAGGCATAACATTTGCATGCGGTGTCAAACATATGCACATACAGTAAAGAATGCGAGGCCATGCAGGATTGCTGTGAAAGCACGTTGGCAGTACATAGGGACCATGCCATTGCGGGGGGAGAGATGGAATGCAAGTTGTCATGTAAAAGAAGGAAAATTTGGCTCAAGAGACTTTGCGCGGTCAGACGAGAGATCAGAGATACAGGCTTACAGCCCGGATGTGATGCAGAATTGTCCCATGATGGCGCCCCTCTACCCTTTCAGGGACCTCGCATAGAATTTGCGCTCGCCGCCCACATGCCCGTGATCTACTTTGAGCCTCCAAACCTTGATCTGGAATGCAATGTCAAAATCCTTGATTGAGGTGGCGACGAAAACTGGCCGATGTAGTAGAAGGATGAGAGGTACAGCATCTTGCCCTCGAGATCAAAATGGGACTGCGTACTCTGCCTAATCTCTTGCTACTTCAGATCGAGGTCAAAATTCCCTGACTCGGGATTTAGTACTTGGGTCTGGGGTCTCTCTCTCTTTCTCTCTCGCCCCGTCTCCCCTCTCTCTCTCTCTCTCTCTCTCGCTTTTCATACTTTTCGATCTGAGACGTGGAGTCTTCGGGTTTGGGGATCACCCCTGCTTTCCCAGACTTGGAGGAAACTTCTCATGAGGTACCTGGAAAATGCTTGAAGGTCTCTGGACATGGAACTCTCGATGGAAATTCTATCAAATTCAGCAAGAATGGTTCTGAACCGGGGTAGGGTTTCCTTTCATCCGTCCTCACAAGCCCCGCCCCATTGGCCCTACACGTTTGTTAGGGATACACATGATATCACATGATAAGTATACAGGGGACAGAACAAATGAAATCACTATCTGTTCGAGCTTGTGCAGTACTGCAGCCTTGTGTGAAGCGCTGCAGCCCGCAAGACGGGGAAACCGAATCCAGGGGGCTAAACGATTAGGATGCAGTTTCGAGATACCGTAATTATTCCAGGGTTCTAGGAAGAAGTACATGCACTTATTCAGGCTTCTACAATAGATTCTGAAGCCTCCATACCGAACCCACAAGGAAAACATGAAAAGATTCGTGACAAACACAGGAAGCTGTGAGTGCTGTACAATCCTCACGCATCCCCAAAAGAGCATGAGCCGTTTTTGCCCTCTACATCTGAGAGCTCATCGCCTGAACATGGCCATCATCCTTGCCACACCCGTTGCCAATGCCAGCAAAACTCTCAAGCGTGAATTGTATGTCAGCCAGAGCTACAGCTTCGCGCAAAAGCGGTATGTATGCAAGATGGGGCCAAGATGGGGCGAGGGAACACGTAGGAAGAACTCTGAGGTTCAGGTTTAAGGTCCCCATAATGCTCCACGATGGTTTTGGCCAGTTTGAAGCCTGAGGAAGAAGCCCGATCCCCTCATAGAGGTTTCGAGAACTCGTGCACAGGAATGACAAAGAATTTGGCTGCCGAAACTATGAGAAGTATATTTCCCATAGGGTGGCAAGAGCCCCTCCCTGCAATTCGTAAACCCTAAATAGTCGTGTCCATTTAATTTTCCATTTGGTTCTCCATTATTCGGGTATATACCCCTATATAACCCCTATATGACCCCTATATCACCCTATATAACCCCAATATAATTGAACTATCATCCCTAGCCCTGGCCCCTATACGCTGCAAATCGTAATCCCTCCCTTCTAAACATCAGACAACCTCAAGCTGCAAACCACAAAGCACCTGAAACCCAGAGAGCCCAGTACCCCTTAGTTAAGAAATATGCCTTGAAACATGTTGGCCTGAATCATCAAATGGGTTTTGGGCCCCATGGGAACCTGAAGCCATCGCCAAACTGAGGCCCAGGCACGTTCCGTGTCGAAAATCACCGGGGCCTGGGGCAAACAGTTTGAGAATGTAGGCTTTAGGGTTCTTCAGTGTTTTTTGCTCCGGATGTAGGGGTTGAAGGATGTAGGGTAAACGACTTTGGGTTGAAAGTCAAGGAATGCGCATGGTTTTAGGTGGATCAGTTGTTTGCAATCACGACTCTGATGCCTGGTCGAACTCTGGAATTTTGCGCTGCAGCTTTCTGGCTTCAAAATCAAAAAAAGAGATGCATCTGAGGGGTTAAAACGTCTGAGGGGTTCGACCTTCAGACGAAAGAAAGGTGTCCAGCATCACCTTTTACAAACGCCTAAACATCATGGTTGAGGTCGCATACCCACAGAGCTGCAGATACCTCAACTCACAGAACATGCTTTCACAGATGCCTTCATGTGATGAACGGAAGATGCCCGATTTGTATGATTGAGCGCTCTCCGCATGCTCCCAAGCCTTCAACCCCTAGACTGGGCTACCCAAGCACATGGCCTTAGTGGGGCCTGGGGCGTGCAACGTAGGATTTAGGATACGGACTCTCGCAGCAAAAGCGCTGGGGGAAGGCTCGCTTGTTACAAAAACCTAGGTGACAGATATAATGATCTTGCAGAAAGTATAGACAGGAATATGTGGAGCAGGACTTAAGCCAATTGTATGAGTATGGGTCAAAGTACGTGAGTCACTGAAGTGGGACAAGACAATGAAACAAGTCACTTGAACACAACGTATGCAACAATAACACTCTTTTATCCATGCCTCAAGACAAAACAATTAATCGGTATGAGGCTTGGACGGTGGCATATTTTCGGATGCGAAGAGAAATAGTTATTGCTACCATTCCATCACAATCAAGCCGAAAAAGCCCAGGCCCTGTTCTCAGTGGCTAAGGTCCCGGCAGACACTAGATTCTGCACATGGTTCGGACCGCCGCGCTCGTCCTCACACCACTGATGTACCCGAAGTCATACGGCACTGGTTCCACCACTATAATAGTGTGGTTGCAACAAGTCGTAGCACTTGTTCTTCAAAGCTTGTTCTTGCATGTAAGCCTCCGCTACGATGCTGATTTGACAGGGCTAGGGAGCAAGAGCGTACAAAAGCAGGTGCAACGCTTTGCAGAACTTACTGCTCAGAACCACATTCCATGTGAAGGCAAGCAGGAGGCAGCAGACAGGAGGACTTGGCTGGAACCTCATCTCTCAAGTTCATGCGGCCCTGGCAAAAAGTTTGGATTAAGAGGACTTTGAAAATCTCTTGTGCTGACGATAAGAAGCAAGGCGAAACTTTGTGTGAAAGGCATAAACAATGCTGCGTGGTGAAGTTTCGGAAGCATAGTGAGTTCAAGTGTGGCTGCCTGAACTTTGCAAACTTGAAAACCCCAAGCAAGTCCAAAAAAAAAGCTGGCTTGGCGCCTATGACTAAACCTGGGGGCACCTGACAATCAATGTTGACAGGGGGCGTAAGCACATAACGCAACGGCGGAGTTTGAGCAAGCAGCGACAAATTCTATGCTCTCAGATTTCTGTACCAAATTCACAAAAAAAAACTCACGTGACCTCGCTGCTGATGACTCTGACTTCAACACCTTGTTCATGTACCACCGGCGGTTACGCGCAAAAACAAACCCAAATTCCGAGAGGCAGCTCAAGGTGTCCCAATGCTCGCTTGAACATGTATAAAAAGCGTGACAGTTGAAAATACTCAAACGTTCAGATCTGAAGGCTTTAAGCGCCAATAGCTCAGGCAGACCCTACGCTCCACTAAATGTATCCTCGCATGTTCCTTCCTAGTTTGTGTCTGCGAAAGTATGCTGAATTCACAAGCACAATGCAGAACCTGGGTGTTCGGGAGGAGGAGCGCACATCATCAAAAACGCAACAGATATGTCCAAGGCATTGGAGCCCTACAACCTCAAACCCAGACTACAAACCTCAGCCCAGATTTCTAAACTCTTCGTGTGGCAGCAAAACAGATTCCCATATCATTGGGAGTGGGTGAGGTTACTGTCCGCCCTCGAAGAAAGCAGCCCTCAACTTGGCCTCAGCCGGCCAACCTGAAGCCTGCAAGCTCGAAATCCTACATATATATATATATCTATTTGTATACAAAACACCAACATGATTTTATAGGTATATATGCATATACAGTATCATAGAAACCACATTTGTAGTAGTTCGCATCTTATTTTCCATGATCCCTGGAATCTATCAAGCTTAGGCACTCTGCTGGCAATTATCCCTATAAACCCAACAAAGTCCTCCTTTCCATTTCATGTTCCATTTCCTTTTCCTCTCAATATATACCATCATATACCCCTCTATCCCTATGCCCTAAACCCTAAACCCTAAAAATCTTCACCAAACCCACCCCCGGCACTGTCCAGGATCAGGTTCCAATCGATCCAAGCCTCGAGCCATCCCTCCAGGTCCTGCAGGAGGTTCAATGGGGGTTTTAAGAAGGGGTATCTAGGGATATATGACATGTACTGGTATATGGTAGGGATACATAAGGGTATATACAGAGGTAGAGATACTCAAGAATCAAATGAACAATCAAATGAAATATCAAAAGGAAACTGGGGCTACATCCGGGCCTGGAAGGCTAACTGCCCGGAGGCTTTCTAAGGTTGATCATGGGGCTTCCTGGGCTTTTGGGTTGAACGGCTCATCTCAAGGCAGAATTTAGGGCTTACTGGAGTTTAGGGTTTACGTGCTCATTTCCATTCAGGCTTCAAGGGTTCAGGAATTTCACGGCTTCTTGGGGCAAGAGTAGAGGTTTTTTGGTAGGTGGTAACAAGGGAACATGTGCTGGGTTCGGAGCTCAGAGTTGAGGGCTTCAGGGTTCAGGGAGTTTTTAAACTCTGGAGCTGGTTTAGGGTTTTAGGGCTTCAGGTCTAGGTTTTCCAGACTTGGAATGTAAGGGGGGTTTAGGGTTCTAGGGCCTAGGGTGCGACTCTGGAGCTGATTAAGCCTTTTGGGGATTCAGATCTAGGTCTTGAAGACTTGGAATGTAAGGGGTTTCAGGATTCTGCTTTGAGATCTAGAGTTTTATGACCAAAGGGGTTGGTGTCGAATACCTGAGGCTTTTTGCTACCTTCTCCTTCTCTGATTGTTTATGGTCCTGCAACTTGGACTGTCGCCAATGAGACGCCAGCAGGCGTTGAGGCACAGCGGTCGGAAACACACACACACACACACAATTACGGACTGGACTCAACAATCTCGAGGATGGCCTGTACACATACGGAAGCAGAAGTCATTGATTGTGGCAGTTTCATTGCCCGGATAGCAACATGAAGATAGCCCCTAACTCTTGAACCGAGTACTGGGGAGGATGCAGGAGGCTGCCTGCCAATGCCATGGTGTGTACGCGATAGGTTCTTGAAATTGTCACAAAGGGCGATGGGCCGTGATCCATGGTCCTGTATGTCCCGTGTGGCTTAAGTGTACAGTAGATGTATGGCCAACTTCCAGTGTTCTCGGTGCTTGTGGGTATCCAAATAGGTTTGAGGAACGTCCTTTGAGCAGTCTATGCAGCTGAAGCGTTACAATTGCTGTAAGCTCAGCATGGCATACTCGGACTCTGCCTTGCTTGAACAGGTTCTCATGCAAGTGAGGCGCACTAGAAAAGGAGAATACAATGGTATGAATGAAAAGCCACATGTCTGGCCATGCAAGTAGATGCCGGATGATGCTGGCATTTGAAAGGACTTACGCTTGAGCCTTTGGCAAAGTTGTTGATTCGTTGTACCAGACCCCCTTGAAGCCAAAAGCCTCAAATCACCAATCATCTCATGTCGAAAACACCAGAGCCCACACCCCAATCCCTGAACTTCAGGAGACCTACAAAAATGATCTCAGGTCCTTGATGATCGCCTCAGCATACCGCTCGCCCAGCTGCCAGTCCCCGATTCGAGGCCCGGTTTCCTGCACAAATGACGTAATGCTGCAAAACATAAGTACACAGAATAAGGTCCTGTGATGATGTTGTATGTAATTCTAGGTACATGATCAAGAACCCTATCTGGGAACTGAGAGTTCAGGTTTCACTGTCAATCCGTGGGTTGGCAGGGTTCTCTAATGTTCTATGAAACTGTTGCGGCAGGGACAAGCAATTCTGATCTGCGAGTTGGAGTGGACTACAGTGATCATGACAAATGTTGTTATTGTCAAAACCACGGTCAGCCCTTGGAGCATTTGATTGATTGCGAACGCTGCAACTTATCTATCACCGTTGCTGTCTTGTGACAGAACCGAAATCCTAAACTAAAAGCCCTAAACCCTAAACCAACGATTTTGTGCTGACTCCTTTGCCATCCCTGGAAGCGAGTGTTGATGGCTCAATGCCATCACAAGAAAATTGCCAACCGCTGCTGACGCACAAGCTAAGGCATTGCTTCTTAAATAGCAAGCTCAACATATCTCCGCTCGTAATTCTTAAGATCGCGCAGAATTCCGCGCTCAAAGCCGTCCCACCCCATGTGCCGAGCCTGGCATGCCTCAGTCATGATGATGTGTTTGTCTGGCCGAAGCTCGTGAACCTTCCGCACCTTGGCATAGAGGCTTCAAGCTTCAGGGGTTTGAGATGTGGATACATTCCAAGTTTTACGCCTGTACCATCGTCGTACGCAAGGCATCCAAGGGGGTATCGGAAGGTGTTGCGAGTGTAGGGATGTGTAGGGAGTGTAGGGCATCTGTGGGGGAAACAATAAAAGGATTTTTGGTTGCCGCAATACCGTTATAGGATCTTAAATCCTGCGCTTGGAGCTACCAAACCTTTCTTACGAAATATGAGGCTTTGTGGGGATGAGTTGGCCTATCAGGCTGTTCTGGTTGAGGGCTCAATGGCCCGAGGATCTGGGCTGGATTCCAAGAGGGCGCCTAACCTAGGTCTTGCCTCGCGATTCGGCCAGGTGAGCTTGCCCTCTTCAATGACGGTGATTCAGGTTAGGCTTCCTCCAGAGCAGAGCTCCTTGATGGGCTGGCGGTATTGAAAGCGTTGGGCCACTTGGAGGGGCCATTTCCATCGATCCATCCAGATTTGTGGACGTACAGACGAGATCAAAGGCAACATGACGAAGTGGCCTCTCACGGGCATCCACATTTCTCGCTGCACAAGCTTACACATGAAGACTCCGGCAAATTCTGTAGGAATTCAACTAAGGAATTTCTACAAGAGGTTGAGTTTAACTAGAGGGATCTCACACATAGTGGATTCATGCGGATGGCTTTCAAGGACCGAGACTTGCAGGAGCTCTCTAGATTGAGCCTTGGGTGTCGGGCGGCTCCATGCTGATGGACAATGCTTGCAAGGCTTCGGAACTTTCATAAGAAGCTGCATGCGGTCGGGTTGAGGTTCCGGGCTGTGGGTGTTTTACACACGATAGCTCGGGGTGGCAAGGCTCATCATCCAGAAACTTGTTAAGGACCTTGGCCCCTTTGTATCGCAGGCTTTGAACCAATGCCATTAACGCGGTGCACTTTAGACGGTCCCATCGCTTCCACTCTGGGCTACGGACGTTGTCGAAGAGAGTCATGCCTGATTTGATAAGCCAGACAAGCATTTGCTGCGACTGTTTCTGTTTTTATTTCTTCTGCTGCTGCTGCTGCTGCTGCTGCTACCGCTCCCAAGGGGCAGCAGTGCCAGATTGAGATGACAACTGACAGTAATACAGTACATGTGCTTTGCCTCCAAAAAATTGGACTTTAACCCCTGCAAGGTTGCTGTGTTGTGGTTATGACTAGCTGCTCACATGGTTCACAGATTCGCCCTTTGCAACAGCAAATGTTAGCTTCCTGCCCTCACACCATGCAAGTAGTTTTGAAATCGAAAACTTCCCTTCTCTTGCCTCTCAGTCAAAGGGCAAGCAATCTGCAATGACATGCAACAGCTTGCAAAATACCCCATCTGCAGCCGGCAGAGCACTGCGAAGTTTATCTCCTGCCTGCCCCAAGACTCAGATCCCAAGCACAGTATGAACAGCTAGACTGCTAGACCGCAAACTCTATGTTTGCGGTTTCTGCATTTCTGCTTAAGGAGACCAATATGTAGAAGAACTACTGCCTCAACCTACATTAGGCCACCTTAAGCCCTAAACCCTCGACCACAAACCCTGTTTCCCTTTAAGACCAAATAGTGAACCGCATACTCCGACCTTCTCGAGCAGGCCAGAATTCGAAGCGAGGATCGCCGTACCAGTGGTACCCAATCCTGTGGAAAGCAGATGATTATGGTGGGCTGCCCGCAGCTGCGATTCATGACCTGAGGCACATCAGTTTTTTTAGCTAAATCACGGTCAACTTTTTGTACCAAAGCCGGCTTTTAATGCCAAATCAATGCCAGCCAGAAGCCATTCACTAATTCTGCAATATTGTGAGAGCTCCTTAATAACCTAGCAAAATCGTATGTGGAATCCTGTTTCCCACTTGCAGCACTAATGCTTAGTCGCAAAGCGAGGTGAGGTTCGCATGGCCACTGGCCCAGTACTACAAGGGAATGTGTTTAGGGTTTAGGGACCAAATTCGTATGGCATTTCCCCCTGGCTTCCCCTGACACATGTGAGTTCACATGTGCAACCTTCTGGTGTCTGGTGCAGAATGCAGCGCCATCTCAAACGGCTCATGTTTCGCTTTCTTGCAGAGACCTCTTGCTGCAATGCTGCTTGCCTTCTGCCAACTGGAGCGAGGAGAGTTTGGATCGTTTACAGTAAGTCTCCTATTGCATATTATAATATGTCTATTGAGGATATATGTATATATATATATATAAGGCTAATTTCATCTGCAACTCCTAGAGCAGAGTGCCGAGGACCCTGCCCCCAGACGTATTTTGCCGCCTCTGGGTCGCTGTAGATCGTATGCCTGGCCATATCAGTTGTTTGTAAGGCATCTCTCCAATTGAGGGTCATCTTCTGCATCCCGGGGTGCTATTTGCAGTCCGGACTGTGTTCCGAGGCCAGTGCCAAACTGGGCAAGAATGACTGAATCCTACAATGTCTACTGTACAGGTGGCAGGGTAGGGCAACATCTTCGCGCTGAAAGCAGCGTGATAGACCTGCAGCCGTGAAGCCATACTTGACAAGCCATCTGAACTAGTCTAAACTCTAAACTCCTAGAAGTTCCCTTAATAGGCCCTATAATGCTCCCCTATATAACCCCTTTTAGCAGTGAAGACTACAGCTCATCTTGTGGTAAATCTCCATGAGTTCTTGGCAGAACAGGTCTGCGTCCATTGGAGCGCCTGATCCTGCTGCATCATGGGCATTTCTTGCATTCTGCGCAAGCCCAGTCAGAGTCTGTAGTAAGGCTCGTACGAAGGGCTGTTTGCGCTCCTGATCCATCCCTTATCCAACTTCAGTGAGGAGGGGCCCGCGCCCAGGATATCCCCAAGTAAGTCACTTCCCCGATTGTTTCGCAGAAGGTCCCTAAAATTGTTTCAAATCGCTGGGACAGCAGAAAATAAAGAGAAGCCCACCAAAGCCCATCTGAACTGCTGTGGGACCACCAAAAACTGCCACCACTGACAGAGAAATCTTTTTTGCATCTGACTTCTGAGGCCGGTGCCGTGATGTAAGCCACTACACAAACCCTCTCATGGCAAAGCTCATGAGTTGGAGGTTCAGGCAAAGTCTAACTCCATTGGAGCGGGTATCTATAAGTACAGAACAGATGGGCTATCATTGCGCTGGAGCCCCAAGTTCCCCATGCAATCCCCTGAGATCGCTGCGCGCGGGCAAACATTTCGTCACCTTGAGTGCCCGTCTGAAGACTTTGGGGGGGGGGGAAACGATTTTCGGGTTCAAAAATGACATGGAGGCCGTCCAGAACAGCTTGACAAGCTGGGAAACTTGTTGAAACTTTGGGTTCAGTGGTTGCGGTCCGTCGGCTTAGAGTCTGCAATGACCTGCCACATAACGAACTCATGGCAGAAGCTCGTAAATGACAAATGCGCTCATGACCCCTCACTCGGTATACGCCCTCAGCTTTTCTCCACCGTACCCGTGACCGTGTTGTTCTATTCTGGATTTTGATACACAGCTTGGGATGACGGGGTGGCCATCCCCAAAGCCAAGCTCCAAGCCAAAGAGCACTTCAGGATTCACAGTCTGGGGGTGAGGGTTCAGGGTACCTTGGCGGAGTTGGGCCTTTGCTAGCCGGGAATCATGGGATCATTCTTGTGAGATGCGGAGAGCCCAAACGCAGCTAATCCTAGAAGATGCCATGCCTCAAACCTCCTGCATTCCCTGAACCTTGCAGCTTTGCTTTTTAACTCAAAACCTGAAGCCATAAGCTTTCAACCCCATGGAGGCCGAGCGACGGTTATGGTCCCATACCAGCAGCTTCAAGTCCAGTCCACTCCCCTGCAAACAACTAGAAGACAAAAGCAGGGTTTGAGTGTTGGGCTTGGCATTCAAGGGATTACGGGTCAGGATTTGTTTTGCCGCTTGGTTTGTGGTTCGGACATGAGGATTCAGGACGCAAATGGTTGGTGTGTGGGATTCGGGGTTCAAGAATTTGAGAGCTTGGATTGAAGTTTCAAGGGCTTGCGATCTAGGATATTCCAGGGCTCGGGATTTACGGTTTGAGTGTTGAGGGAGTTGGGGCATGGTTTTCCACCATCTTCAAAAGCCAAAGTAGTTGCAACATACTTCTGAACAGGCGACCCCTTTCTAATCTCCAATACGGACCAACAAGATCCCCCTGTAACCCCCACATATCCCCAATGTCTCTAGGGGCCCCCGTGATACGCTTCTAATGGCCTCCAGGGCAGGGCCCAAGTGGTCGCGGACGAAATCGCGCTCCATGTTCCCATCGTAGAGGCAGTTCTCCCACGGCGTGGTCCTTTAGCTTGAGGTCTTGGGCTTCAAAGCTTAGTTGTTCTTTGGGCTCCATGGTCTGGGGCTCCTGGGTAGGCTTCATGGCTTGGGAGTATAGCCCCTTCGGTCGTGGAGTATGGGGCTTCTCGCTCTTGCTGGGGATGTGTGAAACCAAAGCCGCAAGCTCTCCGCACTCCAAGCTGTTTACGAAGCCATGGAATGGCATGCAGTAGCTTGAGATGCCAATCCTGTCCCCAATCCCGTCACAGCCTTTTCCTTCAGATCCCTGGAGCCCCAAACAGAGCGGAGCAAATACCCTTTGTCATGTCCAATCCTCTTTGGAGAAAATGGACGGAGCCTTTGCTCTTAATGTGTTCTCGTTTCGTCTTAGGCAGGGGCTTATCACTGGCTGACACAAGTGGAACCTTCGATGATCGAATTGGGCACTTTCAAAAGGCTTACAGGACCCAAGCAAGGGCACAGGATCAGCTGGTGGAAATTGCCAGCTTTCACAGCATTCCGTCGCCTGCTTGAATAGCTTGATACAACACCCTAAATGCTCTATCATGTCCTGGCTGAACCATGCGGCCGAGAACTCCAATCAAAAGCACCAAACCATGCCCAGGAAACATCGCATGAACAGAATTCCATGCAATAAGGCCGGAACGCGTGAGGCTCGTTTTGGACCTGAGATCTGCCCAGATGCGTGGCAGCATCGCTCTCGGGACTTCATCTGGAAAGAACTATATGATTCTTCAGTATGGAGACATATGACACCTCACAAATTCCAAGCAGGGATTGCAATGCGCTGCTCCAACAGACCCTCGCATTCAGGAACTTCAAGGATGAGCTTCGCATTGCACACACCGCCGAGGCCGTGAGGTCCTGCTTAGCCGCTGAGAAGTATAGCACTCAAAAAGAGCGCATAGAAGCCGCAACCATTTCACTTCCTTGTTGTTCCGGACTTGCCCTACAGTTGCTATCATTGCTTTTGCTGTTGCCTTGTTGTAACGCACATGAATGGTGCATGTCCTGGTTATGTTGCTGGAAACACCTCTGGGCCCCCCTGCAGTGAAGCCCCAGAGAGGGGCACCCTCCTCTTGCATGGCTTGAGCGAAGCGTACATAGTGCTGTGCCCAGCTAGACCTGAGCTTTGCATGGTTCAGGGGTTTTGGGTCGAGGGCTGAAAACTATTTTCCAAACTCCTTGTGATATCCCTGCAATTATGGCTTACAAATCAGCTTCCCCCTGACAATTTTCATCTGCATCACTGCTTCTCATAGAGCTTGACAAGGATCCAAAAGGTGTTTCACAGAACTGCGACCCTTGATCTTCCAATGCTTAATCATGCTGCGTAGTGCCTGCCGGAAATGAATGGATCCGCATAGTAGTCCCTGTATAATCCCCCATGATAACGCTAATAACAGCCCCTACAACCCAGTAAATCTTGGTCAAGGGACAGTGCTGAGCCTTGTGGGGCCTAATGTTAGGGTTTAGGTTAGGACAGGGGTGTGTAGAAGAGCCTGCGTGGGTCCAGGAAATTTGGAACCTACTAATTAACTTTCAAGATCCAACTTTAAGTCCCTCATGTACGCCTGCGCTGTATAGGACAATGCTAAGCAGGTGGCAGCTTCAAAGGCCATAGCCAGCATAGACCTACAAGCAACATCTTGCAGGAAGTGGAAAGCCAAGGAGGCATTATAACGATGCTGTCTTACTTGCCAGAGTTTGAACTCCAACACGCTCAAGCCTCAACACCCACGACTCTTCCTCCATTCGTTCCCGACACTTGCATTCTCGGACTGCAAGTCAAGAGGTCCTAAACTTCTGCAGGCGACTTTCTCAAATTTTCACTCTGCTCTGAAAAGCCTGGATCCCCCTGTTCGACTAAGCTCGCCGGCTTGAAATCATCCTTCAGAATACCGCCAGCTTGCATCCGTCCGGTGTCCTTGCCGTCTGTGTCCAGTGCGCTTAAATTCAGACACTTCTTCAGATGCCACTGCATGGGGCTTACCTGAGATGCTTCTGAGTATTGTGCATGTCTGAAAGGTGGCGTCAAAGGATAGAACAAATTTCTCAGGAACGGCCAAGGGTCGACCCTTTATGAACAAACATGACTCATCTTGCACCACCTTTCCCAGAAACCACACGTAGCTTACTGCTGCTGAAGTGTGAGCGAGGGAGTGGATCCCTGTAGTAACTCCTATATAATCCCTTGTGCTGGTACCTGTGTTTATTCCCACGCACACCAGAGGGATATAAGAAAAAAGGAGAGGGGCCTTCATCGAAAAACAAAAGGGGCCCATGTATAACCCACCAAAACATTTGAGATTTTGGAAGGACCCCAAGAACAAGCCACAATTTGTTAAAGTTCCCAGCTTTGTGATCTTCCTTGTTGACGACTCCAAAACTACGGCTATGAACAACCGCAGCAGAATGAAGAAAGCAATACTTACAGAAAGAATGATAACAAGCTCAAAGACATTCATCCGAAGCAGCTGCACCAGCTAGCAATGCTGTTACCTGTTTGATCCGAACGGTCCTTCATCCAGGCTGGTGGGCTCCAGGGCGATGCGATCAGCTGCAGGGGCCGTTCAGCGACCTCCAAACGAAGCAGGGAATTGGACGAGGCCACGGTGGGTGCTGTCGGGCACTGTAGGGCCGAAATACTTATCAAAGGTCATCAAAGGTCTATTTGAGGTAGTCCAACTAACAGGGCAACCAGGACCATGATGTTGGCATCTAATCATTTAGGCCCCAACATTACTGGGTTCCTGTGCTTGAGGTGACAGGGCTTCGGGATGCGCGCTAGATCCAGGACAAGTTGTGATAGGCAGGGGGCAAAGGAGATTTCTGGATGGCAATGGTAATGGCAATGTCAGTGAAGCAGATGCTGCAAAAAAAGCGTTTCGCATATGACCATGAGCAACGCTAATCACAAGTACGGGCAGCAACATTGCAAACATGAATGAAATGGCCAGATCCTGCACCATTTGGAAGCTTGCATAGCGGAGCTGTTCCTAAAGCTCGGCAGGACGCAGTAACAGCTGTCGTAGCTACAGCCTAAGAGGTATCTTAGCTTTCTAGATTTCAAAGCCCTGTGCAAAGTCCAAGACGTCCTTGAAGATTCTGCATCCGGAATACTGAATCTGACTTTTTTCTGAACAATAAACTCTTGCAGAGCCATCGAAGGAATAGACATTGAACACTACTGTCATTCAGACAAGGATCTGAGACAAGTTGCTGGTACATCTTTTCGTGAGGGGGTTTGAGGCTCCAATCCTGTTGTAGGCTCCCATTCTATCCAAGTTCAACAACGCCCCAAACAATGCCGGAGGCTTCTCATTGAATGTTCCCCCGCCTTGAAGGCATTCGAAACTGGCCACGGCAGGCCCCTCAACCTCTCCTGAACTCATCCCCCAACGAAACCCAAACCTCCCAAACCCGATAGGGTTTCTGGAAATTGAGTTCGTCTTTGGGCGGTTGCTATACCAAGGATCATAGTATGCAGGGGTCAGGAAAGGGGTACGCCTATTTCGGAAAATGCCCTCATCCTTTCAAAAAAATTCAATGCCTCCTGTGCACGCTTGATCATGGGCAGCATGGCTGACCGGTAGCGCTCAATGCTGAAACTCTTGAGCTCTGTGTCCTCAGCATATCTAGAAATCCTAAGACCCCGAAGAGATATACCGTCTAAGACCGCTGTTTTTGGTTTCATACGTTCGGGTTTGACCTTCTTGGGGAAGTTTGTGGCTCGCAGTTCGGCATGCGTCTTCATGGGTATGCCCAAAGGTTGGAGTTCCCCCTGTATACTCTGAAACCTTGTTTTCTGAAGGATCCCAAAGCAGGACGTGCGGCTTCAGGGCACATGAATCACCATGCAAGCCCTAGAGCTATAGGGCTGAAAATCATGGACGTGTTTCGGCATTGTGTTTAGGTCGGACGAGTTTTTTTGCAAGCAATGCATGTGCTAGTTGACCCAAATGAAGTAAACACTAGTCCCTCCTCAATACACTTTCTAACCCTTGAGCTACACGAATGGGTATGGTGTAGCGATTTTTCCTCCTGGGACAGGCAAGGAGGTTTAAGGCTCCGACACCTTCCTGCTCCACGCAGCTCCAGTTCCCCCTGCACAGACGTTAGGTTCTAAGCTTGGTATCTGCAGGCTTTCCGTTTGGGGCTTTGAACGTAATATCGTGGCCAACTGGGCTAGTCAACGTAATCTCCTTGTCATCTGACTTGAAGATGCCCAGGTGGATTCTGTCTTCTGGTTGGTGCTTCTTCTCATAATGCTAATGCCACCGCCCCAGGGAATATCAAAGCGTGGCTCAACGGTTCAGGATTCCTTGAAATCTTCTCATGGGGCTGGTTGCAACAGGCAACAACAGATCTGCAAGCATCCCCGTGCACGGTCCAACATTCCCAAAAGGGGCAGCCCCTTAGCGCTCAGCCTGACAGCTGAAGGCTGTCTTAGAGAAGCAAGAGTTGCAAAAGACATGCTTATGGCCCGCAAAACTATGTGAGATATGTGCTTATGTGCTTTGAACATGCTTCACGACTAGTCCATCCTGTATATAGACCGCAACCGAACAGACTCTCTCACAGGCAGGGGGCCTCGAAAAATCGCAGGCACCTGGGCCAGCCACTGGTTGAAGAGTCTGCAGTCATGGCGCAGTTGCGACCATCATTTCCATGCGTGATAGTGTTTGCACAAGACCATATTTCATGTCAATGCTAGCAGTATTTGTCACAAAGTAGTGAACGAAGTCCTTGGCCATGCACAACATCTGAACAGTAGATGCCTGAAACTTAAAGTTAAATTTAAAGCCACGATCCCTTCTGAACGTCAAAACCATCCACTCTAACGCAGGTCTTGCTTGTGCAGAGATAGCCTAGCAAGTGTTTTTACAAGCCATCCAGGATCGCCTCTCCTCCTTCTCAAGCACTTGGAAGGAGCTTCGGGCGGTCAGGCAATGTAAAGCTTCTTCACCATCCATACCCTGCATATTTAGATCCTAAACTCATATGTCTGAAGCCCCTGAACTCTCAACCTCTTCAAGCTTTGAGAGCAGAGCCCATGTGAACCCGGCCCCAAGAATAGGCGATTCCTTTCTCCTGGCATCGGTGTAGGGTTTGGGTGTCGTGGGTTGCGCGGCTACGGCGTATACGGTTCAGGGCTTAGGGTTTCGTGTTTTGGAAATCAGTCTTTAGCATTGCATGTTTTTTTCCAAAGGCCGAGCTTTCAAAGAGAATTCATGGCTGTAGTATACCTCTTTTTGTGTGCACACATATGTACACGCATCTGTGTATAAATTGCCTTGTATAGCGTTAATTCTTGTCAAAGCCAGTGGAACATCTCAGGTTGTCTGGCTCTTGTATCACAAGAACAGTTTTCGTCTGGAGGTGAATGGGCGTCGGCAGGAACTACTGGTCCTTTATGCCCTCCAAGCTGGTAAGATCCTGAATACAAGCTTGGCATCCTACTCACTTAATTTGGTGCGGCTTGTGAGAAAACTCCCACAAGCTACACACTTTTGATGGGATGCTTGTTCCTACAATCATGCATGGCCAAGCGCCTCATACTTTGGGAGTTGTGCTTTCCTGTGCACACATGCCATGAAGGGCTTTGATATCAACAGGAGTCACATGGGATTGCTTCAGAAACTACCCTTCGGTAAAGTACAGGTACTCATTCAATGAAAAATGTCCTGGATCTCATAGTGAGTCTGGTAAGGGAATCCCACTTCACAAAAAAAACGTCCAAAATGAAGACGTGTCCTATTTCCTTTGCTATCACTAAGCGCGACTCATGGCATCTCTGTTTTTCTCTTCGATCAGTCTTATTTCTATCTTATTGTTGGTGGACAGAACCTTGCATGGCCCTGTATACTCAAACCCTATCAAGTATGTTGCTATACTGCATGCTTTTGTCCATCAACTTATACCATTTCCTCTAGCACTACTTGACCTTCTGTAATACTGCCTACATCTTATCCCCCTAAAGCAGTTGCCATTTGCTTTACCAGTCTTTCTTACTGCTTTTGTATGAGCACGTTCTTGGAAATCAAGGCCAGCGCCTGGCTGAAGTATGCCTCGATGACCTGCTCCTGAGCACTTCGGACTCAGATGGAGGAATACATCCCGAGATGGGTCCCCATAGAATGCCGTATAGACGGTCTCTACATATGATTCCTTCATTTCCTGCTCAACATGATGGACGGCCAATATGGTTGGCTAAGAGTCTAGGGGTCAGGGTCTTACGAAATTGGGTGGCGTCAGGGCAGAGCGCTTGAGGGTTTCAGGGTCAAGGGTTTGGAGCTAGGAGTTTAGGGTCGAAGTATCCGTGAAGCTCAGGACGCACCCTAGACTTCCAACTGTGCCATCATGCGCGCGCGCGCCAGGCCCAGTACCACCGTGCCACGCCTTGACAGATTGTCCTCTTCAACCCCTGTGATCAGCCTTCATATGTTGATCAGTATGTGCTCAAGCGGTTGTTCATTTTGCGGGGCTGACCCCATGTTCCCCTCATGAACCCTGAAACAACTCCAACACCTCGGACCAGAAAAAAAAGCCAAATCCCAAAACCTTCAACCCTAAGCCCCCAAAACTAGAACGTTATTAATCCCTTAGGCCCGCTGGGCTTTGGGCCTAGTCTCCCAGTTAGAGTTCATATCATGAACGGCTTTTCAAACCAAAAAGGACATGGCAAATGAAATGGCTATTACTGTTTAGGGTTTAGGGCTGCAGTTAATGTTTCCATTGATAATCGGACGTGGGTCCTCATTAGGCGATCTATCAGGGACTATGATAAGTGTCCGAAGGGCCGCTATGTCCACCCTTAATGGTCCCTTGGTAACCTACTTTTTGCAGTAACTCATGTAGCAAAATCGTTCACCGCAGGGCGTGAAACAGTGAAACCAATCAGCATAAACAGGGCCCAGAAGGTCAATGTTGCTCCGAGAGGCTTCAAAACCATGTACCCCAGATTCCGCAGGCACTGTACCGACAACGCCTAGAAGATCCCATTAAACTCCTTGCATGGGAGCAATAGAAGCCCAATGCCAAACAGCCCAAAACCACAGCCCACCCACCCAAACCCAAAACGGTGGCCTGCTGATGCGGCTTCATCTTCTGTAGGAGCTCCGCCGAAGACTCAGTGAAGGAGCCGCCGAAGCCCAGAAAGGTCTGGAAGCCTTGGGGACTTCTGTCAGTAGCCCTGCTACCGATCTTGCTTGAAAAGGATTCACGATTTTATATGTATGCATTGTACCAAGGTGATCGAAAAACACTCTGGAGCCCCAAAAGGTATGGAAACCTCGGAGACTTTATTGAAAGCTTCGCTGATTCTTCCAAGACGGGGCTTTCTTTTTAACGAGTCATACAACAACAGGATGATGAAAGCCTTGAGGGCTGTCGTCGCTGGCACTCATCCCCTTGCCCTAAAAATACACCCTCCGACGCCCGGTCCCCCACGCAGGAGAATGACATGAGACCATCCAAGGACAAAGCACCCCTTTTTTTCAGCATCACGTCACTGCGAGCACAGCAACTGAATGTCATCATTAAACTGCAGTGTAACGTCCTAGATTTCAGGGCGCAAAATTTTGACGCCCAGGGCAAAATCTCCCCGAGAACAGGGGGGTGGTCTGCTGGGGGCAAGGCGAATGCTTGGCTCCTGGAAAGCAGGCGCAGCGTGAATTTTCCAAGGAGCCCTTCAGGTCATCGCCAAACTGGCATGGCATGCCCGAAGACTATCTAGTGTTCAGCAGGCCGTGATGACTGAACGAATTAGGAGGACTTTATTGTGGGTCACTTCCTTCATCTCCCGAAGAGGGTCAGGTACAAGTATGGGCCCCATGCTCTAGTGGCACCACGCAGTCAGCACCTTGTTTGTGATTCGCTGGATTCACGGATTCCTCGCATGGGCCAGATGAGGAAATCTTCGGATCTGTATGTCGAAACTTATACGTGCGGCAACCCAAGGGCAACGGCGAGACACTGGACTGGTGAGTGCCAGGTGAGCCTATGTAAATATAGAGGGGGCGTCGGCATATCTACGTGCATACAGGCTGCACGTCAAGACCAATACTTGCCAGCACTCACTAAACCTCTACTGTGGAAACCTTAGCTCTAGCGCGCTATTATTTTGAGGTTCGTGTCAGAACTGTTGAGGCCCAACTATAGTACACTTTGTCCACAGAACCTTAGCCATGCGCCTTGTCCAGCTCTACACCCACAATCTGAACTCTGGGGAGTTGAAGCTTCATAACCACAAAGAAATCAACCCTCATCTCTGAAAAAGGAACCCAGTCTTTCGAAATGCTCCAGAGTCATGCCTCGAACTCCCCAAGGTTAAAAACTCCTGACGCCCCATCACGGAGAGATCTCCAAGCGCTGCCAAACCCAAGCCTACCAGGATCCTCAGCCCTGTGACCCACCCTGGCTCGTAATTTCTGCAAGTCTTCCTGCAATCCAAGCCGTCACCCTGTGCACAGATTGTCGCTAAACCTGGGTCAGAATGGTCCCTAAACCCCTAGATCCAAAGTAGCCCACCTGACGCAGTCTCAAAGGAAATTTCCGGGTACGTGCAAATTTACACGGGCCCTCTTCTGATAGAGAGGGATGCTAAGCTCCTCATATACCCATCTACTACTGGAACCAAAGACAGACGAGAGAACAACATGCGGCTCCAGAATGATCTTGGCCACCGCAGGCGGGGCAATGTGATCTTGGAGGGCCAAAGACTGTAGCACCTTCAGCACATGAGTAATTGCTTGCCAAAAGGAGGGTCTCATTTTTTGTGCCCCAAATACTCTGCGCCAGATGACACGGCGCGCATAGGGGGCCGATAACTTTGTCAATTGCCCACGTGGCCGCGTCTCACTGTCAGGGGCGTCTCAAAATGCGGGTCCTAAACACTAAGCTACCAGGCCTGAAATATTGAGCACCTTGGAAACCTCATGAACCCCAACCGACACCCTAAACCCAAAACCTGAATCTCCGTCAAACCTCCCTGAGCCGCACACCCTAGTCCCCAACAAGCTTCCTGTGTTATCAAGGCCTTCAGCCTTTCTCCGCCATTCTTCGAGGTACGGATGACCTGTACCTCAGGACAGCTTCAGAACTTTGAGTTGCTTGTAAGCAAAATTCAGAGAATGAGGTGAAAGGGACCCTTGCAAACTGAGTGCACCGCATCAATCATGTGGGGATTGAAAAGGATCATTTGGGGATTATATTAGATTATATGGGGCTATACTAAGTATAGTACTTAGTTTCTTTAGAATCCTCAGTAGCCCCAGGCTTTCAAGTGCTTCATGTTGGCACTGTAAGTGATGGCCAGCTAAGGCCGGATCTGATCTAGTTGGTAGGCGAATTGTGTATCAGAAAGGAGCAACCTCTAGCTTGCTACGGCCAGTCAACGTCACTACAAGAGCAACCTCTCTTTCTGCACAGAGAGAGAGAGAAAGAGAGAGAGAGAGGGACAGAGTGCCAAAGACCGAAGAGTTTCACTTGTTACTTATTGCTTGAAGCACGATTGTACAAAGTATGCACAACCACAGCCCAAGTCAGTCTATACAAGTCCTACAGTGTGAGCTGACTGCATGTGAGCGCTGATGAGCAGTCAAAGGGGATGCAGGGCCTGGAGGAGAAACTGAAATCAACATCCTAAGGCCAAAGCAGAAGTGTACATACTACCAGATCCCCACTGCACAGGTAAAGGACGATGGGACGGTTTGACACACCCAAGCGGAGTTCAGGGAGAGCCCGGTGTAAGCTGAGAGCGCTTGACTGACCCAAGCGGAGGCCAAGCACGACGGAAGCAAAGTTAAAGCCTCTGCCAAATATTTCCATCCTGAATCGCAAAAGCAATAAGCAACAACACCAAGTGAAACCCCTGACCTTGAACAAGTGAGGCCACTCCATGGATATGTATTTATGTGCATATACACGACTATGCACAGGCTGTGCGCAGGTAATACTCATGTGTATATGCATGTTTAGCATTTGTATATGAATATGTGCATACTGTGACCTTTATTTAGTCCAGAAGAGCACAAGCTCAACCCTCAACAACTGTTTGGTCCTTAAACTTTTCTTTGGGGCACCTGGGTGGTCGTCAAGTAGGGTTGTGGGTTTAGGGTTCAGGGTTTGGGGAACCACCGAAAGCTAAGTTTGAACCATGCTTATGTTCAAATCTCACTTACAACTTTCCCTCCAAGTAACCTCTTACGTCAATCCAGGGAATCAACTGTGCCGAGCTCCCTGCGTAGTTTGGCACATCCGGAGGCCTCTATGAGATCAAAGTGCTACTATGTTACAAGGTTGTTTTGGTCACTGGCGTTGGGCTTCAGGGGGGTGAGTCAAACTGGCAAGGTTGGCTGTTGACTCCCACCTTTCATATGTGACCTGGTCCCATTGACACACAGTAAGCACAGGAAGGATCCTCTACTTGGGGATCACGGGCTTAGTAAGGATACTCACAACGTGCAAGCTACAGCCAAGATTTCCCGATAAGTTAAGGGACACGGGTTCCTTCTTAGGGACTACATTAAGGACTATACTAGACTACAAGAGGGATCCATACATCCATTATCAAGGGTTTCTGAATAAGCCTAATATGACAATAGCTCATATGATCACCCCAATTATTCCCATTATTCGTCTACTTACTAAGGCCCCCCTGACCCTCCAAGAAGGGTTTTGATAACCTCGGTGACTCAACTTCAGCTCAAGAAAGCAAAGCTATGCTATAATTCTACTATAGTAGTTTCCATTTTATTTTCCATTATTCCAATATAACCCCAATATACTATATTGATAATCTTAATATTAATAATAATACCTCTTAGTGCAATAGTCCCAAGCATGTGCCGCCAAATCTTGGGTCGTCTAAACCTAGTACATACATTTTTTCTCAAAATGTACTCATGCCCCTCAAGGGTGTGAACAACTCACGTAGAAGGGGACATCGTTTTCAACATCAAGTGCTACAGATGAACAACCAGTATGTTGAGGTGCAGGGAATGTTGCCAGTACGCTGTTGCAGTTTTGGGAACCGCATTTGACATATGTTTGGCTATCCAGGGTCAAGGGTATGTATAAATGAAAATCACCGGAACACTTTTTCGAAACCGCCCAGTTTTTGATGTGACTCCGGATTGGCCTGCTCCAGTCGGCCGCTAGCAACAATAGGGCTCCCAAGACCAATTGCATCTGATTCCAGCTTAATCCTTGCTGAATCCATGTAGGCATGTCAGACCGGCCTAAAATTCGAAGGAACCCCTATCTGCAAACATTCGCCCATTAAAACCAAACGTCAAACCCTAAACCCTTAACTTGACGTCATCAACCTGCTGAAGAACATGTTCTTCCACAGCTTTCGTAAATAGTCTCCATTTGGCATGAGCTCGGGCGAGGTCATCATAATTTGGGCAGCAACCCCCCGCTTGTTTAAACAACATCCTTTGCGTACCCTAAACACCACCGGAGTCACCCTGTTTAGGGCCGAGGGCTTCGGTTCTATAACCCTAATATATACCCTATGATACGATAGTAGTTTCCATTTTCTTTTCCATTATCCCAATATAACCCTAATCCCTAAATCCTAAATCCCCATATTCGATCTACTTAAGGGGGACTATAGGTCTTAGGGGTTTGGGAGAACTGCTCCCTTTGTCCGGCCCAGGCGCAGTGGGTCAAGGGGACCTGGCTCTGCCGTGAGGTTCAGGAGATCGCCGAGCCTGGTTCTGGATGTTTGGGGTTTAGGGTTTAGGGGTTTAGGGTTTAGGGGTTTAGGGGTTAAGGGTTTAGAGGTTTGAGGGTTTAGGGTTTAGGGGTTTAGGGGGGGTTTAGGGTTTAGGGATGCTTGGGGCCTGTAGTCCCCCTTATGGCTTAAAATAGGGTATATATTGGGTTTCTATAGGGATAATGGAAAAGAACATGGAAAATACTATTCAGGGTTCATAGGGTTCATAGTCCCCCTTAGGTAGATAGAATATGGGGGTATATGGGGATCTTATTAAGTATCTACTTAAGGGGGACTATAAGGTTTGGGATGAAGAACTTTCAGGGTGTTGGGCGGTTTGGAGTTAACAGCTTCTAGGGCTGCTCTAGTGTTAGATACACAC